CTGATCTTTAACAGTAGGCATCATTCAGGGTTTGTTGTTGTTGTTAAACATGTATTGGAGCATGTTTAGAGGCTTCTTTAAAATGTCTGCTTCATGTCCTAAAAAGCCAGTAAGTGAGTGGGACAGCTGTCTGTGGACGTGGGCTGCTTTCTGTCCACTCACTTGGCTGAGCAGAGGCCTTCACTAATCTCTGCTATTGGTAAATTTTTCAGTTTTATGCTCCTAATAAATGAACAGCATTTCTTGTTACCCGGTTATCAGCTCTGCTGTCTGTCTGTGGGTGTTTTTTGCCACTCTGCTCTCCAGGCTGCTTCTTCCCCTGCGCCTCCTCCATCTCCATCTCAGCCTGCAGACCCCTCCGGAGGTGCAGCAGCCGGTACCTGAGCTTCTCATTCTCCGCCCGCAGGCTCTCTACCTCCGGACTGACCCCAGCCTGGTCAGCGCCGCCGTTCAGTCCGTCCCGAAGAGCAGAGATTTCGGCGGTGAGGAGCCGGATCTGCTCCTCCTGGGCGGTCAAACGTGCAGCCATGCAGTCCGCCATCTTTAAATAACCACAAAGGGACGCCTCACTTCCGGTGAGGATTGGAGAAAAAATAAGAGCATTTACTCAAAATTAAAATAAATAAAATGATAAATAGATATTATACGGAAGAGGATTAGGGCCACTGAAAAAAAGTTCATTGATTTTTAAATATTATTTCAGTTTAATATGTGAAAAAGCTCAGAATTCTGACTTTGAGCTCAGAATTCTGACTTTTTTCTCAGAATTCTGACTTTTTTCTCAGAATTCTGACTTTATTCTCTGAATTCTGAATTTAATCTCAGAATTCTGACCTTTTTTCCCACAGAATGCTGAATTTAACTCAGAATTCTGACTTGTTCCTCAGAATATTTACCTTAATCTCAAAATTCAGAAAGCTGAATTTAATCTCAGAATTCTGACTTTTTCCTCAGAATACTTACCTTAATCTCAGAATTCTGACTTTTTCCTCAGAATACTTACCTTAATCTCAGAATTCTGACTTTTTCCTCATAATACTTACCTTAATCTCAAAATTCTGACTTTTTCCTTAGAATATTTACCTTAATCTCAGAATTCTGACTTGTTCCTCAGAATATTTACCTTAATCTCAAAATTCAGAAAGCTGAATTTAATCTCAGAATTCTGACTTTTTCCTCAGAATACTTACCTTAATCTCAGAATTCTGACTTTTTCCTCAGAATACTTACCTTAATCTCAGAATTCTGACTTTTTCCTCATAATACTTACCTTAATCTCAAAATTCTGACTTTTTCCTTAGAATATTTACCTTAATCTCAGAATTCTGACTTTTTCCTCAGAATACTTACCTTAATCTCAAAATTCAGAAAGCTGAATTTAATCTCAGAATTCTGACTTTTTCCTCAGAATACTTACCTTAATCTCAGAATTCTGACTTTTTCCTTAGAATACTTACCTTAATCTCAGAATTCTGACTTTTTCCTTAGAATATTTACCTTAATCTCAGAATTCTGACTTTTTCCTCAGAATACCTACCTTAATCTCAAAATTCAGAAAGCTGAATTTAATCTCAGAATTCTGACTTTTTCCTTTGAACACTTACCTTAATCTCAAAATTCTGACTTTTCCTTAGAATACTTAACTTAATCTCAGAATTCTGACTTTTTCCTCAGAATACTTACCTTAATCTCAAAATTCAGAAAGCTGAATTTAATCTCAGAATTCTGACTTTTTCCTTTGAATATTTACCTTAATCTCAAAATTCTGACTTTTTCCTTAGAATATTTACCTTAATCTCAGAATTATGACTTTTTCCTCAGAATACTTACCTTAATCTCAAAATTCAGAAAGCTGAATTTAATCTCAGAATTCTGACTTTTTCCTCAGAATACTTACCTTAATCTCAGAATTCTGACTTTAATCTCAGAATTCTGACTTTTTTTCTCAGAATGCTGACTTTAATCACCCCACGAAGGAAGAGAAGTGGGAGCATTCAGCTACACTGACAAAGATGTGCGTTGTCTGAGAGGGCCAGTAAAACATTGTTGGAAAATGACGGAATTAGGCAATTTTTTACGTTTCCAAGGGGTCCCCAGTGATGCTTTTTCATTAATGTAAGAGCAGAAGGTGATTAAAATAAGAGAGCTAGATTAGTCTCTAGACATGGCTATGGCTTGATGCTAACATGTTTGTTAGCTGTCAGAAGTCAGACTCCCCCCCCCACCCCCCATATTAAACTGAAATAATATTCAAAAATTTGTTAACTTTTTTTTTTTTTCAGTGGCACTAGGGTTAGGGTGCCATAATATTACTGTAACAAGCAAGTTAGTCATTGATGAAATATAATACTTTGACACAATATTTCAGATTTAAGGGAAATAATAGTAAATAGTGTCTTAACTTCAACATCTTACTTCATACTGGACGACCCTTTAATAAAAAAAAAAAGAAAAAAATGAGAATAGAAATAAATATAGCACTAATAACAAATCCTATTAAACCCTTTAAATTTGTAGTGGACTAAGTGGACATCAGTGCCCCTGTTTATGATTTAAATAACATTTTTTATATTATAGAGTGTTTTATTTATTTATTTTAGATTTAGATCTCTGGTTGTCTGAGTTAATGTTAGATTTGTGATAGAAAGACAATTTATAGATTTGTGAAGATGGGCATGAAAGTCACCCATAAGGAGTTAAATACATTCAAAATCACTGCCTGAAAAGACACGATCTTTATTCTTATGTTCACTTTAATAAGAAATAAACCTTGTCTGGTGAATAAATTTAGGTTAACCAAAAATAAATATCAGTAAAGGTATCAATGGTATTTTTTATTTATATAAAAGGCTTGGTTTATTCTAATTCAAGACAAAGCAGAAAAGCTGGGTCATATATTTCCTTTTAAGTATGTGGTTCCAACAAGTGATGACCGTAAATTAAGGATTATTATGGAGAGGAAAATATGCTTTATAAGCATATAAGCTTAGGATGTGATATTTGACAGACCTGAAATATTAAGCAAACTATCTGATATCTGGGTGCTTAACAGTATTTTTCAATGTAGAGATCTGGATGTTTTTGTTTTGTTTTAAAAAGATGGTTCGTGTTTTATGATGTTTGGTGACGTTTTTTTTATTTCCTCCTTCTGTGTTTTGTAAGCTATATATTTCTGTTATGTTTTAGAAAAAAAATTTTTGTGCTAAAAAACGACTAAACAATAGAAAACTTTAATCCTAAAGTCTCAGAGATGACAGATGTTTTAATGGGAGGGATGCTGAGGAATCTCTCCACCTGTGACAAGGACGTCGGGCATGTGGATGGTCGTTTGGTGCATGGCGCGTGTTTTGAAGCTGCTTATGGAGAAATGTCTTGGGCCGTGAGTAGTGAGGAAACAGGAAGCGATTCTTGTGGGATGGAAGAGGGAAATAGTGACAATGAAGGTTGGAAGATAGCAACATCAAAAAATGAGAAAAAGCGGAAAAAACAGAGATCAGTTCAAGGGGAATCTAGTTCAGAACAATCCAGTGATGATCATTCCATACATTCCACAGCACAACAAAATGAATTCAAAGTCATATTCAAAGTCGTTAATCAGGCAGACTCTTTTACAAATTGGAATCCGGTTCACTTAACAAAAACCATCAATAAACTTGTCGGAGAAGTCAGAGGTGCCAGAATTCTGTACAGTGGAGACCTGCTAATTAACTGCAGAGACAGCGCCCAGCAAGGCAAAGCAATACGGATCAACAAAATTGACGGGATAAGAGTTCAGTGCAGCCTAATGGAGAACAAAAAGATCAGCAGGGGAGTCATTGGAGGAGTTCCTCTAAAAATTTCTGAAAAAGAGATTCTGGAAAACATAAGCGGTGCAAAAGTAAAAGAAGTAAAACGGTTAAAAACAACAAGAAACGGAGAAAGATCTGACAGTTTATCAGTGCTAATTAAATTTGAGGAAGAGCAATTACCAAGCAAAGTATTCATCGGTTACATAAGCTATAATGTCAAAATCTACAATCCTCCACCATTGAGATGTTTCAAATGCCAAAAATTCGGTCACATTGCAGCAGTTTGTAAAGGGAAACAGAGGTGTGGAAGGTGTGCAGGAGAACATGAGTACGGAAAATGTGGAAAAGAAGCTAAAATAAAATGCTGTAATTGTGGTGGAGAACATACTGCTGCCTATCGCGGCTGTGAAGCAAGCAAAAGGTCTGAGGAAATTAAAAAAATGAAATTTGAGCTCGGAATAACCTACGCTGAAGCTGCAAAAAGGATCCCATCTCAGTCAGAAAAACCCAAACCTACAGTTCAACACACGGCAAATTCCAAACCTCTAGAGAATCAAAAAATTGATGAAGACTCACTTATTGTTAAAAAGACAAATTTTGTTCTTTTCATGGTAGAAGTAATTAATTGTACTGCACAGACAACAAAAAAAACGGAAAAAATCAAAATAATAGTGAAGGCTGCAGAAAAATATCTGGACATTAAAGATTTGAACTGGGAGATGGTTGGAAGTATGATGGGAGGACCGATGGGACCATCAGAAACTGGCAGAGTTAAGATGACCTAGAGTAAATTAAAAATTATATGGGCAAATGTGATTTAGTATTATGTTGGTTTAAGTTACACAGGTTTTTTTTTTTTTTTTTTTTTTTTTTTTTTTTTTTTTTTTTTTTTTTTTTTTTTTTTGGGGGGGGGGGGGGGGGGTGAATCGTTTTCTGTTTTCTTGCTTTACTCCATATCAGTTGGTGGCGGTAATGCACAATTCACAAGTCTGCCAACCGCCATAAAACCCCATAAGAAGAAGAAGAAGAAGAATCTCTCCACCTCTTTTATCGCACTTAGAAAATAAGTGTGGTCACAAAACTTAGCAGAAATTATTCATCATGTTTTAAAGTAATTTTCAAATTAGTTATGTTGGAGCTGGTTCATTTTAAACAATATTATTTTCTTTATTTCCTCTTATAAAGCTGTCATAAAAGAAAGCTGGCACTAGGGGGCAGTAATGCGGTTTGTGAGCGGTTGTTTCTTCAGCTGGACGCTCTGCCTGTCAGCAGAAATGTAAACACTTCATTCATGTGCGGAGAATAAGCGTACAGGTTTGTTGAAAATATTTGAATATATGAGTTACTTATTTCGGATCAACTACGGAATAAAATTGATATTTTTGTAGCATAACAAGAGCCTTAAAACACCGCCGTTGTATACTTCCTGTACAGTAAGCTAGCAGACCGCGGTGAAGTTAGTTTTACGTTGGATATTCGACAGACATTCAAACCGCTTCTTCCTCCGGTTAATTCTCTTCTCCCCCACGGGAAAACCTCTCCTTTTCTCCGGGTACACTGCGATCGGAGGAAGCCGCTCCAACACTTCCAGTGCACCCTTATTAGAGACTTTACAGTAAAAACACGGCGATTGAAAACGGCTACATTGTGTACCAACTTCCTGTTTTCAAAATAAAACTGTAGGCTTAGATTTTGAAGCCCAGAAGCTGTCAAACTAGAATATTTATATTTGTTGTATTTACAAAAACATTATACATATTTAGAGATTTCATATTTAAACTAAATGCTGTATCTCATTAAACCAGTCTAGTACCATGATTTCTCATAAATTTTGTGTCAATCCATCACAGAAACTGGAACGTATTCAGTCAAACTGCCAATATCTACACATAGATACCTGGAAGCAATTGAGCAAAAATGCTAATATTTCATTATAAAAATTAATAAAAAAAAATATTAAAAACTTAAAATGTAAAAATATAGGGCGTAACTTTTGTAGACGATGGAGTGCTATGATTCAATATTGATTTTGAGTCAATTGATCACATTACCTGGAAGCTATTGAGCAAAAATGCTAATATTTCCACATAAAAATTATTTAAAAAATATTAGAAATGTAAAATGAAAAAATAAAGGGCGTAACTTTTGCAGACGATGGAGTGCTATGATTCAATATTGATTTTGAGTCAATTGATCACATTACCTGGAAGCTATTGAGCAAAAATGCTAATATTTCCACATAAAAATTAATAAAAAAATATTAAAAACTTAAAATGTAAAAATAAAGGGTGTAACTTTTGAAGATGATGGAGTGCTATGATTCAATATTGATTTTGAGTCAACTGATCACTATACTTGGAAGCTATTGAGCAAAAATGTTAATATTTCATTATAAAAATTATTTAAAAAATATTAGAAATTTAAAATGCAAAAATAAAGGGCGTAACTTTTGAAGATGATGGAGTGCTATGATTCAATACTGATTTTGAGTCAATTGATCACATTACCTGGAAGCTATTGAGCAAAAATGCTAATATTTCCACATAAAAATTAATAAAAAAATATTAAAAACTTAAAATGTAAAAGTAAAATGCATCTTGATCACTATGAAACAAATTTTAATTTCTATTCTCTTTGTAAATAAAATATTTGACAATACTGTTTAGTATCAACTCAGCTTAAAAAAAAAAATACTCCACACATAATAACATCAAATTGCATCAGCTTAACTTCACAACCAGAACTCCAAAGCTGCTTCCATCTTGTTGGAATCAATGGGACATAACCCCATTTTATATCCGCCCAATCCGACTTCCCATTACAAGTCGTACTCCTTACGACTGAGAAAAAGTTTATTTTTGTTATGCACTTAACATCTAGGTCCCTTGTTTCCATGGGTTATCAAACACATTTGCAAAAACCCACCACAAATATGGATTTATGAAGGAAAAATAGTTATTCATCATCACCTTCTGAAGATCCACCTGCAAGATGAGGATTAGCTTTTACAATGATTGCATGCTGTATGCATTAAAGGTAGTAAGACCAATACAGAAGACACAGTTAAGTCAACAGAGTTGGATAATGTAATAGCTTATGTCCATCCATCCATCCATCTTATTCCGCTTATCCGGGGTCGGGTCGGGGGGGTAGCAGCTTCAGTAGGGAGGCCCAGACGTCCTTCTCCCCAGCCACTTCGGCCAGCTCCTCCGGAAATATCCCAAGGCGCTCGCAGGCCAGCTGTGAAACATAGCCCCTCTAGTGTGTCCTGGGTCTCCCCCTGGGCCTCCTCCCGGTGGGACATGCCTGGGACACTTCACCAGGAAAAGACGTCCAGGAGGCATCCTAATCAGATGCCCGAGCCACCTCAAGTGGCTCCTCTCGATGTGGAGGAACAGCGGCTCTACTCTGAGTCCTCTCCGGACGATCGAGCTCCTCACCCTATCTCTAACGGAGAGCCCAGACATACTACGGAGAAAACTCATTTCAGCCACTTGTGTCCTGGACCCAAAGCTCATGACCATAGATGAGGGTAGGAATGTAGATCGACCGGTAAATCGAGAGCTTTGCTGTTGGCTCAACTCTGTCTTCACCACCACAGACCAGTATAGCGCACGCTTCACAGCAGACGCCGCACCAATCTGCCTGTCGATCTCCCGCTCCATCTTCCCCTCATTCGTGAACAAGACCCCAAGATACTTAAACTCCTCCATTAGGGGCAGTACATCCTCCCCAACCCGGAGAAGGCACTCTACCCTTTTAAGGCTCAGGACCATGGTCTCGGATTTAGAGGCACTGCTCCTCATCCCTGCCACTTCATACTCGGCTGTGAACCGCTCAAGAGAGCTGTAGATCACGCCCTGATGAAGCCAACAGAACCACATCATCTGCAAATAACAGAGATGCAATCCTAAGGCCACCAAGACAGATCCCCTTAACACCTTGGCTGCGCCTACAAATTCTGTCCATAAAAGTTATGAACAGAATCGGTGACAAAGGACAACCTTGGCAGAGTCCAACCCTCACCAGAAACGACTCCGACTTACTGCCAGCAATGCGGACCAGGCTCTGACACCGGTCATACAGAGACCTAACAGCCCCTATTAAAGGGCATGTACTCCTTACTCCCGGAGTACCCCCCGAGGGACACGTTTGAATGCCTTCTCCAGATCCAGAAAACACTTCTTCAGCCGAGGGTTAGAACGCCAGGGTCCCCGCCCTTGACTGCCACCCATCCCACACTGCACCCGACCCCTTTGGCCCGTCCTACAGGTGGTGAGCCCATTGGAAGGGGGACCCATGTTTCCTCTTCGGGCTGTGCCCGGCCGGGCTCCATGGGTAAAAGCCCAGCCACCAGGCCCTCGCCAGTGTGCCCCACCTCCAGGCCTGGCTACAGAGTGGGGCCCCGGTGACCCGCGTCCAGGCGTAGGAACACTAGGTCCATTTATGTTACTCATCATAAGGGGTCTTTGGGCTGCTCTTTGTCTGGTCCCTCACCTAGGACCTGTCTGCCTTGGGTGACCATACTATGGGGCATAAAGCCCCCAGACAGCATAGCTCCTAAGATCATTAGGACACTCAAACCCCTCCACCATGATAAGGTGACAGCACAAGGAAGGGCTAATGTATATATATAAAATTTCAAAATGTTATATTGTTGAGAAAATTGTTGAACCTCTTAACTTTTGAAACAGTATTAAGTTTGTTACTCATGTGTGGGACAGTTTTGGGCTTTACATTGATTGGGTATACAGAATCAGCTAAAAATGGTTTCCAGCTGCAGAGCTGGAATGATAACAAACTGCCTCAAAAAAAGTAATGGTAAGAAAGGTTCTGATCCAGAGGGAAGATACAGGTCGGTAAAGGTATCTATTGTGGGTACTAAGAGTGGTGGAAGAAGCAGTCTGCTGCAGTATTGGAGTAAAAGTGTTGATGTTCATAGTCAAGTCTTACTCTACTGCGAGTAAAACATACCCGGTCAGTCATCTACTCAAGTTGAAGTATAGAAGAAGTGATCAAAAGTACATGCCTTCAAAAGTACTTAAGTATTGAAAAGTACCACTTAAATTGTTTAACATCCGTATATTTGTGTATAATTTTCAGAGTAAATTTACGAAACCTTTTAACTTTTTTAACACCTGATATTTAGACATAGAACCACAGCTTCAAATTCTACATCACCTGTACAGAACTGGAGAATAAAATAAGAACAAAGAAGGAAAGCTTTTTGATTTTTTGTTAAAATATGCCAAAAAGAAAACAGAAGGGTGTTAAATCGCAAATTTTCACTGTGGAATAGAGGTTTAATCTTTTATTCATGACCAGGGGTGATGTTAGGGTAGCCGTTTGTCCAGCTTTAAGTCGGACACTCCGGAGTTTAATTGCAGCCGGATGCGTCTTTGTCGTCCTTTATGAGTCACAAGTCTTGAATAGCACATTTATTTCCATTTTTGCGGGGCTGCAGCACAATATCCAATCATAGACTGTAAAAAATGCATTGACTATCTTCTCTAACAGATGACTGGCTAAGAGTGGTGCCCTGTCAGATATATATCAGCTTGTCATTAGTTAGACATGTAGAACAAGGCTCAGAGTGTCCCTGTCTAATTTCAAGGCTAGGCTTAAAACTTTCCATTTTAATAAAGCTGATGGTTATCTGTATAGTAATGCTGCTATAGGCTTAGACTGCAGGAGGACATAGGGACCCTTTTTAGTCATTCTGCTTCATTATATCTCTATTCTCCCATTCTTTTGTATTTCTTATTTTAATCTCTAATGTTATGGTCATGATGGTGCTTTTTCTCATCATAGTAGCTTAATCTTGTCTGTTCCTTTTTGGCTGTGACACCTTGGAGAGAAATATCAGCTGTGCTGCCCCCATGAACACCCTTGTTTATAGACGTCGGTTGACAGTTGCCTTTTGTATCTCTGCTTCTTTCTGTATGTAATATAATGTAAACCTGTTTTCCTAAGACAACAAAAAATCCACTTTAATGAGACATTTATATAAAAATATTACCTTATTTGCTCAATAGCTTCCAAGTATAGTGATCAGTTGACTCAAAATCAATATTGAACCATAGCACTCCATCATCTTCAAAAGTTACGCCCTTTATTTTTTTATTCTAAATTTCTAATATTTTTTTATTAATTTTTATAATGAAATATTAACATTTTTGCTCAATAGCTTCCAGGTAATGTGATCAATTGACTCAAAATCAATACTGAATCATAGCACTCCATCATCTTCAAAAGTTACGCCCTTTATTTTTACATTTTACATTTCTAATATTTTTTAAATAATTTTTATTATG